GATATCTAAAGGCCGTCGTCACCCTGTTTTGAAAGGAAAAAAAAGGAAAAGAAAAGACCCCATGATGCACAACTACGTCGGGAAGACAGCAGGACCTGTCTCTTATACACATCTAGATGTGTATAAGAGACAGGTGTGTGTGTGTGTGTGTGTTTTAAAGTTAAGCAATCACCACAGGAGCCCCTTTTCCACCCAAATGCACAGATATAACAATTGAAACCGTCTTACCATGATATTTTCAAGGGGAAATTGCGCTTCGGGCAGTGTATACAACCCAGCTTTCCGGTCAGGTAGGGTTGCCTGGGGGTGTGTTATGTTCGAGGGAATGCCCGAAGTGTAATTTCAAACTGTTTTTGTGACTGTACTGAAGTTACCCCTTTCAAATGATTGAGATGTTTCTGTGCAACAGACATTTCACTGCTGAAATGTCAGTAATGCAAGGCCAGCCACAACTGTGCAGTCCAGTGCTGGGTCCCTACACACAAGGTTTGCCTTTTGCCACACCTGCACCATACATTTTTCCTGTTCTCTTAGCAACGCTCATTCGTATGCATTTAGCAGTTCTACATGGGGAACGGAAAAGGGAGGGGAGAAAGAAGGGAGAAAGGGGAGAGAGAAAGGAAATGGACAACGAAGACCACCGCACCGGCATAACAGACTGCCACAGTTAGGCATGAAAGACAGTGGCCACTCACAGTTCGGATTGCGGAGAAAATGGTGAGTGGTAACCCCCACAGACAGGGGAAGGCTGGTTTGGATGTGGCTTGTGGAAGCACCACATCCAATCCTCCTCGCAGTCGAAGTCATCGTACCGAATGACGTGGCATAGACAGATCTCATAGCCAACATGGCTTCCGGACGTAAGGAACACAGAGCCATTGCAGTTGCAGTTGTGTCGGTGCAATGAATCGCAGGTTCGAGCGGGCTGTAAAGTAAGCAGATAGTTTTTTTTAACTTTGTTGATTTGCGGCCTTCGGGGTTTGATCCCTAGACCTATGCCTAACAGGGATGGCTCTAACTTTGACTGCGTTAGGAGGTCCCCACACCTTGATCCCCAAACCTGTCCCTTAGAGGGACTTGTTTTGCTGCTGTAGATCTTAGGCCCGTATCTTTTATTTTTCCTTTTTGCCTGTTTGTAGTCTAGGTTCCAGGAGTCTGTCTACTGGGTCCTAGCAGTGCAGCAGGCCGTGAAGTCAGTCAAAGTATTCTGGGAAGCTATAAGACTGTCGAGGCAAAGTTTTTTCCATTCTTTCACACTAAGTGCTGCTGGAGGTCGCGTTCAGGTTGCAGCGCTAATTTCCATAGCGCAGGCTCCGTCTTCATGAGCGGTTGCTGACGGCCATAGCTGGGCCAGCCAGCTACCTGGAGTACAGCGCTGGGGCTTACAAGCCCTAAGCGCTGTAGGCGGATCCTCCCATTCACTGTTCGCTGTTGGGGTTGGCAGGCCTGACTTCGAAGCTCTCCATCGCAGGGTTCTACGTAGCGGCAACCACCTTCATCTTAATTGTGCTGGTGTTCTTCTTCTTCATCCAGGCTGGTACTCGCCCCTGTTGGATCAGGCACATAACGTAGGCAGGGTTCTCTGTTCACTGTTCGCTGTTCAAAGCTCTCCATCACAGGGTTCTCGTTTCAATCAGGCACATAACATAGGCACTGCAATCTCTTGCCTCTCTCCAGAGAGAGGACATGCCATAAGAGGGCGGACTGGTGAGTACATCGGAGATGGTCACCGAAGTATCAAGAGGAGGACTTGCCAGGAGCAAAGAATATAATGACTGAAAGCATCAAGGATCTGGCAGATTACTCTTTTAGGATATATGGGCCAAGGTTAAGTAGTATTTCCTTTCTGTTGTCCACTTTGTGCCCAACACTATTGGGGCGGGCTGCTGCGTTCAGGATGCCTGTGTAAGTGTCTTCCCTTGGTGATGAAAGACATTCGCCAGACTCCCTGGCTCGGATGGTGGCGTGAACCTACAGTCTGTAGGGTTCTACTTGTGCTGTGAGGAGATGATAATCTGCTTTGGTCCGTGTTGGATCGTCGACTGGCATGTCAATGCTGCTCCACTGCCTGGCCACCCATCCATTCGCCTTGTCTTTCCATGCTGCTCGCCTGTTCGACTTCTCATTGTGCTGCCTGGTTGTCTCGCTACCTTGTTCCCTTGCTACCTTGTTGCCCACTGCTCATCATTTCGCCCTGCTTCTTGCCCTTGTTGTTTGGCTTCCTTGGTGGGGCTGCCTTGTCGCCTCACTCCTTTGTTGCCTCACTCCTTTGTTGCCTTGCTGCCTTGTTGCCTTGCTGTCTTGTGCTGCCTCGCTATCTTGTTGCCTCCCTGCGTTCTTGCCTTGCTGCCTTGTTGCCCACTGCTCATCTGGTCGCATTGCTACATGCTTTGTTGTTTGGCTGCCTTGTTGTCTCGTTGCTCTGATGCCTTGTTGCCCTGCTGCTTGCTTTCTTGTTTGACTGCCGACTCGCCTCCCCCATGCGCTCCAGCCTACGTGCTTTGTTGTTGCTTGGCGCCTGGCACCTAGTACCTTCTTCACCCGAATAAAACGCCCGCTCATTATCGTCGCATCTGGACTGAAAGTTGTGCCGAATGCAGCTATAATGACCGGGCGTTCTATTCGGGTGAAGACGGTTATTTGCCTTGCCCTTGCCTTGTTGCTTGCCTTGTCACCTGCTTGGCTGTCCACGCGCAACAGGGGTCAAGCTCCGAAGGACGTTATGGCTCCAAGGATCCACATAGGCATCCTAGTCTCCTACAGACTGTTGAGGGCTCTTCCTTTTGATGATGATTCGGTGCAAGCCCGACGAAACAGTATGTCATTGACTTCTTGTGTTTTGTTTGTTCTTCCCCTAACTTATGCCATCTGTCTGTACTGTATATACTTTCGATTAAGTATCTATGTTGAAAACCATTGTGTTATGCTTAAAAGTGCACTGGGCTGGGAAGCCTCTCTGGGAATCCATGTTCAGACTGTTCCCTGGGTAAAAACAATGTCTCAGAGTGAACGCTTTGAAGCTTGGTTGCTGAGGATATGTATCACACACATCAACACACACAAGTCGGCATTCTGCAACTCGTGTTTTCCTGATGCATGATTAAGCCTTGCCATGCAGAATAGTGCATGCGTCTTTTCCATAGACGAATATGCGGACATTTGTTCTTAGCCATGCACGTATGTGGAACTATTGTGAAGAGCAAGGATCAACGCATCGGAGTCCGCAAGGGCGCTTCGGCCCAGCTGCGCTGTCCATTTTATAGTGATTTAGAAACGTCTGACAACGCAACTGGTGCACACACAAACACCGGCCCAGGGCGGGGAGGGAGGGAGGGAGGGAGGAGATGGACATAGATGGATGTGTTATGACCTGTCATCACACGGACTGAAACAGACAGCCGATTTCTGAGTCTTGCCGTGGAATGCATGCCATACTAAGTTCCCCCGCCTGCTAAGTCTGCTTGTGTGTGTGTGTGCTGGACTGCATGTCTGTCTGAATGCTGGCTGACCTGTGTGAGTGTGCTGCGTGCCTGTCTAAGTGACTTGAGTGTG